AAGAGTAATAGTATGTTTTAAATTAACACATTAACTTCAAACGGCTATAATTTCTTCATCCTAATTCCAAATCCTCTAATTTTTATACATAAATTGTACCTCAAATCGTAAACTTTACAATCTTAGCTTCTAATCTCCAAATGACCTCTTTGAAGTCGCTGAAATCCTTGTTAAGGTCACGGGTAGCCTCCTCAAAGCTCATTGGGCATGGTATTCGACCAATAGGGATGAAGTTCTCCATTCCTTGCCTTCATTTGACCATTCTTTGCTTTCATCCCTCCCAATTAGCCTCCTACTAGTTTAGATTTTCATCCTTAGGCTTCCACCTTCTGTCAAGGCTTCATACTAAATATTTAGGTCCTATATATATATATATATATATATATATATATATATATATTAATATCAAAATCAAAACAAGTAAAGAAAAAAAGTAAAGTTTCTTATACCAACTCCTTTTAATTTAATCTACTAGCCATTCTAATACATATTTAGATTTATTAACATATAATATTTTTTAACTAATTTTTACATATTGTAAGCATTTATAGTATGACAACGTATTTTGTTATGTTGACATGGCTTGCAAGAGCATACAAAGGCACAAATATCATGATCGAAACTTGTTCAAAATCATGTTCTTGAGATTTTTTCTAAGAGTCTTCTCTCATGTCAAAAGTCCTGATATTGGGATGTCATGTTCCTCTTGAAGTTTGCGCATCTAGAGTTTAGCATTACAAATACATAAATTTTCTTCTTAAAATAGAACAAGCTATCACAAAGAGTATAATCTTCATATTGTATATCACCCTCCTTGAGTTGATTGCTAACCATTTCAAAATACGCATCCTATTGTATAGCTTTCTTCCATTCTACTTCTTTGGTTAGATCTAAAATGATACTATCAATGGTAGCAACTTCTGCATTGTCTTTCAATTTTTCCTTCAAATCTACTCTCTTTGATTAACTATCTAGCAGAGTATGTTGTCACCCTTGCTTGTACTCAAGTTGGATATCAAAAAATTGCAACCATTCTTTTCAACAATGATGCCTTGATTTCATATTTTCAAGAAGCAAATCATGTAGCAAGGGTTGATGGTAAGTCCAAACAATCATTGGCTTCTCCAATAGATAGTATCGCCACACCTTTGTGGCATGTATAATTACTAATTACTCTGAATCATATGTAGAGTAATTGCGCTCTGCCCTTCCAAGCTTGCAAGATTCATATGCTGTAGGTTGAAGGTCCCTACCAAAGTCTTCATGAAGGACTACTCTAATAGCAAAGTCAGAAGCATCAATGTCAAATGTACAAAGAAGATTAAGATCATATGGTTGCAATATTGGAATAGTAATGAATGCTTCCTTTAACTAATCAAAGGCATTTTGTTGCTCCAATTTCCATTCAAATAGGGCACTCTTCTCTAATAACTTTGTTAATGAGGCAACAATGTGAGCAAAATGGCAATAGTATCCAGCAAGGTCTATAAATAAAAAAAAACTTTAGAAGCATCTTTAGAGATTGGCCAATCTTCCACTACTTTCACCTTATCTTGCTCCATATGCATGCCTTTGGAAGACACTTCATGCCCCAAAAAGGTGACTTCTGACTTCGAAAGTTCACATTTTGATTGCTTGCACTAGAAGCGACCATCTTGTAGCTTGCACAATACCTCTTATAGATATTGCTCATGCTCATCATGAATTTGACTATATACAAGGATTTTATTAATGAAGACAAATACATACTTGTCCAAAAGGTCTCAAAACAGTTTATTCATGTGACCCATGAAAGAGGTTGGAGCATTGGTGAGGCCAAAGGATATAATCAGCCATTCAAAATATATGTAGTATATACAAAATGTCATCTTTTTCACATCTTTTCTTACAATAAGTATTTGCCAATAGCCACTCTAAAGATCTATTTTACTAAAGATGGTTATATCTCGAAGTTGGTGAAGAAGATCATCCATGTGTACAAGTAGATATGTATTTTTAATAGTCTGCCTATTGGAATCTCGATTGTTGATGCAAAGACGATGTCCAATATCTTTCTTAAGTGCAAATGATAGAAGTGCTCCCCTTGTTGATGTGCTTTTTTGAATGAGGCCTTTCTCCAAGAATTCATTGAATGTCTTCCATAGTTCTTCAAGTTCTTTTGGTACTAGGCAATAAATTAGTCAACTTGTTGATTTGGCTCCAAGCAATAGTTTTATTTGAAAGAAGGCACCTCGATGAAGAAGTATGCTATTAGGTATGTCAATTGGAAAGACATCCTAATATTCTTGTATGAGTTGTTTTGCTCATTCTATCCCTTTGGTTATTTTTTTCCACCACTAACTTGAGATTTGGAACCACCATATATATATATATATATATATATATATATATATATATCTAAGTTGCTCATGCTATAGTTGCTTCTTTATAAAGGTTGTCTCTATAAGTAAGTCTTTGATTGTAGGTTGTCTTTTCTCTTCACTTAAAATAGAGGTGCAAAGAGTCACCTTGCATCTTCTATCTTTAAAAAAAAATATCCTTGCTACCTAATCAACATTCTTATTTTCCATCTCTAGCTATGGCATACCAAGAATAATATCATATCTTTGCTCTGCCACCTTGAATCTCTCTCTTAAGACATAGGTATTTGTCAATCTTAAGGTTTCTTCTTCACATGTCTCACTCAATATGTTCTCTTGGTTATTTATAAGGTATATACTTTTTCTCTTTATTTCCTTGGTTTTAATTCCAAACCGGTCGATAATTTCAATTGAGATGTAATTTTTTATAGATTTATAATCTACAAGCACTCAACATGATTGTCTTCATAGTAGTCTTGTTAGATGCACTAGTCTATTTTTTTTATAGTTGTCCAAGGTTATGCCATTTGGCTTTGACAGATAGTAGCTATCTCTAGTATTGGTCCCTAATGCCTTTACTAGAGAGCCTCATTTCTTGCTCTCACTCATTATCAATTTGATAAGTTTTGAGATTGTAAACCCACTTTATCTTGCTAATACTTGCACCTTGACATTTTGAACAACCTCTAATCTAATGGCCTAGCTCCTGACAATAGAAACACAATCCTTTTTGTACCAATATTTGTCATCTTTACAATGTCATTGATCCTTATAAGGCATCAATCTCTATTGGCATTGGTTGTTGTACCATAATATTAGATAGCGGGATAAAACTTTGTACCATAGGTTGTGCTCTACAATTTTTGAAATTTATAACATTGTCCCTCTCTACAATCCAAATTTTTTCTTTGAATGTTTGTGGATCTTTTAGTTCCATCTCTAACTAGACTAGAGGATTCAAACCTCGTAGGAATCAATCAATCATCTTTATATCTAAAACATTGTTAATTTGGAGACATAGAAATTTGAATCGAGAGACGTAAACTTGCATTGGCCTAATTTGTATAATATGTGTCAACTGATCACGTGCTATCTTATCCGCATTGATGGGCCAAAATTGATTCATAAACTCAGTCTCAAACTCCTTCCAATCACAAAATCAACCTTGAGCTTCATAACTTTGAACTTCATGTCGTGACGAAATGGCTGCCACATCTCTCAAATAGTTGGCTGCATATATAATTCCTTTAGTGGTATTTTCCCTAAGTAGTTAGAGGTATTATCACATGTTGAAGAGTCAATGACATACATCTTTTTGTCTTAAAGTTTTAGAGTATGTATTAGACTTACTCAATTTCAACCTAGCAAATGTCAACTCTTTTCTCCTCGAAGCTTTTATTTGTCCTTACAAGGTAGCTATCTAATCTAAGAGGTATTATATTTGAGCCTTCATTTGGGATTGCTTTGTCATATCTCCCATACTATAATTTCTCTCCTAGAGTCCACTATTATAATGCTTTTTTACCTTTCATTTGACTTTTTAAGAGTAGCTTATGGTAGCCTCAATACAATATCGAATGTAACCATAAGAACTCACCTTAGACTAAATGATGAGTATTGACATGCTACCAAAAATAAACAGTCTAATACTCACTCCGATACCAATGAAACATGACTAGACTATGTCAAAAATCCAAGATCCTTCTAATCCATAGCAACATAAAGCCTCATTACAAAATAGGTTAAAACAGACCAAAACAGAACTAAATAGAATTGAATTGAATATGACATGAAAGACAAATTGAGGATACGAAAATAAAACTTAATAGAACTGAAAAAATGATGGAAAGCCAAATTTTACTAAGAAAAAGAATTTGAATCCATACTTGACGAAATGCCCCAAAAGGCCCTGGCCAATTTTAATTATACCCTATCCTACCACCCTTGACTTTCTAGAATGTTCTTAGGTGGTGGACTCCATTTAGAGAACTGCCTTAAATTTCCTTTCTAGAAGGTTCCATGATAGGCCCTACCTAAATAATCATCCAAAATTCTTTCTAGAATGTTCTACAATGGGTCCTATATGGTCCACTAACTTAACTCCAATTCTAGAAACTTCCATGGTTCTATCTATCTATACAATTATCTTATCTATACCCTGTTACATGTACCATAAAAGGATAATATGTATAATATGTCACCAAATTTTTGGCCAAGTTTTCAAACTACCAATTATTTATAAACTCTTATAAAGTCAAATTCACATCTATAAATATTTATAAATAAAAAGTTTTGATATATAATATATAATAATAAAATATTTTGTTAAATTATTTTATAAAAAATATACATTTTTATTAATGATACGAAATTCGAGATTTTAACAAAATATTTTATTTAATGTAGAAATTACAAAACTTTGACAGGACAAGTGTTCAAAGTTTTACTTGTATTAGAGTTTTACATGTCCACACTCGGGACGCTCGATAACCATATCCGCAAATGAGGGCCACATCATGGATAGGGGTACCATCTAGGGTATAATAGGGGTAGGTTTTGACTGGTACAGCTAAAAAACCGGGTATAACCGGGTTTAAACATCGTGCGGGGTTGCACGGATTACAGGGAGGGAGGGAGGGAGGGAGGGAGCTTGGAGGGCAAGACGCATGAATGAATGCGATCTGTGTTGAATGTGCTGTGGCGTTGTGCTGCGATGCAATGCAATCGCAACCGAATGTATGAACGACCACCCTGAGCCAGTGCCATCGCCATTACTATCGTCATTACCCCTCTATCGCAGTCTTCTACGATTTCCTTCCCTGTGCTGCACCCTTCTCACTCTGCCACTCCTCTTCCCTCTTGCTTGTTTTCGGAAGAAATCGAGTATTCTAGGGTTTCTCCACGCCCGATTCGCATTTCCAGAGTTTGGAAAAAGACCGGCCCAGACGTGTTGTAGGGGTTGGAGGGTGTAGCATCTCTCCTCGGAGGGTGACACATGGAGGAGGAGCATGAGGTTTACGGGGGCGACATACCCGTGGAGGTGGAGGGGGATATCGAGGGCGACTTGGATGGGGAGCCAGACGACCTCCTTCTCAAGGGGGACGATACTGCCACCGACGAAGCTGCTTCCAAGGTACAATTTTCCTGAATTGTACTCTGCATGTGTCAATGTGATCAGGGACGACGGACTTGCGAATGGTGACATTGTGTTGTCGTATGATTATGTTCATGCTCTGGTTGGGTTTATGTGTGGCCTATGTGGGTTGTGTGGAGAATCTGCAACAGTGGTGTTAAATATCGTTTGTGATTAGGTTTATTGGAGCTTTGTGAGCCTTTCTAGAGCGTCATGACTGGATTACATTCTACTTCCTTTTTATATATATCTTCATTTGAAGCTTTATGATCCAATTCGACGCGTGCTCGTGTTTTTTCATTTCTCCTTTTTCCAACATTTTTTTTAACATCAGTGGAGAAATTGAATTGTCAGATGGGCAGTGGGATTAAACACCTGCATCTTAGCCCTTCGGCATCGAAGTCCATTTTTTTAGGGGATAAATAGCGTACACAGTGCCACCTGTGTGTGGGATTTTGTCTGAACTTGGTGAGAACGATTGTTACTAGTTTTTATGTCTTCCAGGTCTGATGAAATGCTAGCGTGACGCTGGAAAATTGACAACATGTTTACTTTTGATTGGAAGTCTTTTTCTGTGCGTTTGCTAGGAACTAGAGGAGATGAAGAAGCGTTTGAAAGAGATGGAGGAGGAAGCTGCCGCATTACGTGACATGCAAGCCAAGGTCGAAAAAGAAATGAGCGCTGTTCAAGGTTTGAATATCCTTCCTTGCTGCGCCCCTGGATGTGTTGGAAATTCAACAATCTTGCACTAATATGATTTGAATAAGCTCTCTATTTTGAAAGTCTTTGTCATGAAGTAAAGTATTTGTGTGGGATTCCTTGTTCCATTATGGAGGTATTATGTACAAGTGATTCGCTTCTATCTTTACAGAATTGTAGCAATGGTGATCGATTGCGTGAACGAGAATAACTTAACTTCGGCTTGCACAACCTGTTCTTGACAGCCTTTCTATACCTTCTGTATGCTGTAAAAAATTGCAGTGTAGTAATCGTTAGGTTCATTTGATTTTACAGATTCTGTGGGCAAAGATGGCTCTCCTGCCAATCGAGAGGAGGCGGATGCTCGCTCAGTTTTTGTCGGCAATGTAAACATATTATTCCATTGTACTGGCGACATCTACGATTTTAATCTCTCATTGTCCTCTTCTTTCAGGCAGATATGTGTTGGGATTATGTTCAAATACTCTAGTGTTATAGATTTGGCCGTTTGTTGATTACTGAACTATGACATACTAGTGTAGGACATTGGCAAGAGTTTTGCATTTATGAGTTGTATAATGATCATCAGAACGACGTTGTCCATGCCCCCTTTTCATCCCAGGTTGATTATTCCTGCACTCCGGAAGAGGTACAACAGCACTTTCAGTCATGTGGGACAGTGAACCGTGTCACTATTTTGACAGACAAATTTGGGCAGCCTAAAGGGTAATTTCTTTGTTCCATCTGGATTTGTTGAAATTTAAGTGTTGTCAATAAGGTTACTGCAAAGTCAGGTTGAGTATTGGGTTATGATCATTGTAGTCATTTCATGCGATGAGAAGCGATTTTTCCGGAATGATTTAGTAGGCACGAATAGTTGTGACAACATTCGCAAAATTTCGAAGGGGAGCTCAGATGCTTCATTTTAGCAAAGAGAGATTGCTTTGAGCTGGCTTTTTTCTTTCTCATAATGGGTAAAATCTCTGGCTTGTCTCTGATCTTTCGACGTTCTGTGCAATCAGGTTTGCATATGTGGAGTTTTTGGAGGTCGAGGCAGTACAAAATGCGATTCTTCTTAATGAATCTGAGTTGCACAATCGCCAACTCAAGGTGATTATTTCATCTGACATTTGTTAGAAGTTCTTGTCCTCTTTTTTGTGTTCAATCCTTTCCTCGATTGAGAAATGCTTATCACGCATTTAACAGTTTCTGTGAGGACTAGCTCAGGCCTCTAGAAGTGCGTCGTTTGATAGTTATATGTTTGTTTTTATTTCTGTCTTCTTGTTCGCGTTATTTTATCTGTAATACTTCGGCATGCATGTGCACGAAGCTGAGTTTTGGAAACCTGTTGGCAGGTAACAGCAAAGAGGACAAACGTGCCAGGAATGAAGGCTTATCGGGGACGACCATACGCTCCCTTTTATGGGTACCGCCCCAGGAGGCCTTATCCGCCTCTCTATGGGTATGCTCCCAACGGTTCTGTGTGGGCATCCGTAGTGGATTCCATTCTGACTTGTGGTGTGCATATTTCATATTGAGTTGAATGTTTGCGTGTTTTCTTGTTCTTGCTTTTTGTGCTTGCTTGCTTACTTTCTTTTTTATGTCTTCCTCCCTTACTTCTGCTTCTTCTTTTTATTATTATCATTATTGTTCTTATCATTAGTATTATTTTATGTGATATCATGTGCAGGAAAATGCCCAGATTCAGGAGGCCTATGCGTTACAGACCTTATTATTAGGTGATTTCTATTGGACGCTTCTAGGAGAGCAGAGGTCTCGTGATATCAGTTTAGATCAGTTAGGAGAGGAACTTGTGTGTCAAATGGTCTGTGATGGTCTCATTGAGAAATTTTTCTACGAGTGTTGAGGGTGTTTCGATCGCTGTTGTGGAATTGTCCTTGCATCTCTGGAAGGTATCGGGGACTTGAGTAAGTTCATGTGTTCTCGTCCTAATTGTATGTGAAAAGTGCAAGTTGAAATATGGTCATGTAGTTTGGCTGTAACAAAACTAAAACTAGATTCTGGATGTAGTTACTCATATCTACGAACGAGTGTTGATAGTATTTGAAGTTCTTGTGTCTGTGCATCTAGAGTATTGAACTAGAAACTTGCGGCAAACCTATGCCTTAATGTAATACTAGCTTTGCAATGAAGCGTGTGGCAGCACTGAAAAAGCTTCATGTAAAAAGTCTAAACTGAAGTACCAGAGACGAAAATGTACTCTTTAACATTGCTAGTCTAAAATTGTATTTGCAAGGTATTGTGAGTGTTGGGGCCATAACGTTTCTTTATTTTCTTTTTTTTCAAAACAATAGAGTTATTATCTCGATACTTGGTTTTTCTTTCACGCAGAGTTCGATACTTCACAAATGGGATTTCAATTGCCAATCTATCGGTGTTAACCCGCCATCCTTCGGAAGTTTAAGGGCATTGCGGAGCAGAGCCCGTGACGATTAAAGAGCATGCAGTGCAACAAACAAAAATAGGTCGAAGTATATTCTCAAAAGAGTTCAGGAATGAGCTGAGAGTCATGACAGAAAAAAATGTTTATCGGTCATCAAGAAAGGTTTTTCACACTAAAAATCAACAGGTTTTTAATGCATTAAAAAGGTCCAGCCAATTTCTTATGGGTCATGAGTATCTTTTTAATTGGATAGAATTTGGGTGTTTGGAGTTGGACAAGTTGGATTTAGCATTTCAAATTGAACAACATAATCCAGCTTATATTATTTTTTTGTAATTTTAGTATCTTATTGCATTTGTAGAAGATACACGATCTGGAAAATGAGATGAGAGGTAGTGCTTGAATTCACTCTACACTTTCTTCTTTTTGAGGTATCTATTGGAAAACAAGCAGGAAAACACACAAGATACAAATCAGGTATCAATAGTAACTTATGAGTTATTGATGTTGCTAAAATTTTAAATAGTTGCTTTTAAGAGAACATAATTACTTTAGAATTTTTTTCCATGTATTAAATATGATCAAGATTCAAGTTGATACTTTCAAATTGTAGGAAGTACTACCAAAGTGCAGTATTCCAGTGAATCAAAGTAGTCAATATTAAACTTCTAAATTTCTACAATAATTAGAGATTTTTCTGTGTTTTCATTGATAATGTAAATGGATATGATATGAGTATTGGAAATATACATGCTTTTTAAAAAGGTGGTTTGATTATGTATATATATTTTTTCTTTTAATAAAATTGTGTGTAAGTTTGTATCAACATGATATTAGAGTTGAGAAGATGCTATTGATCCAAAGAAATTTTTGAATGAACATTACACTTAATTAAAGATTATTGATGTCTTATAATAATATAATTAAAGATTTAAATGTTGCTACAATTTTTTTAATTCTACTCAAATTTTTTTTACAAGTCAAATGTATATATGAAGCTATAACTTGAGAAAATTTCTTAATAAAGATTTATAAGTAATTGGCAAATTTCAAGAAAAAATACATATCTCTTATTGTTCTTGAAATCTTTCAATCTATAATAGTTTGAACTTTTTTAGGATCCATCATAAGACCATTATTTGAACGAATGTATTCTAAGAAGACAACTTGAATTGTGCAAAATACAAACTTTTCTATCTTGGCATATTGTCTTGCATCTCTAAGTTTTTGTAATACTTCACAAACATATATTTTATTTATTTTATGTTCTTTGAATAGATTGAAATCTCTATTTGGACTAATCTATTCTAAGAACAATAGATTGGTCCAAATGGCGATTGAGTTCTTTTTTAAAATTCAATTGAGCAATTATAAAAATAATGTTGTAGTATATATATATATATATATAGATATATATTTTTCTTTGCAAAAACGTCTTAATAATTCTTTTATTCACTCTAAATGTTGCTTAAAGGCCTTCCATCATTAAAAGTAGGTGTGGCATAAATATAAAAAGATGATCTTTCTTTTGTAATATGTGTAAAAATTCTTGCACCTACTAATAAGGATTTGGTTATATTGGACCTAAGTTAATCTACCTTGATAACAAAATCTTGAATTATGCAATTAGAAAAATCAAGATTATAAGAAATCTACTCTATTCAAGGATTATATTTTTGTAGCCACTATAAACTTAAAAAAATAAACTTTGAGTGAAATTTAATAATATTAAATATTGCTAAGCTATTATGTCCATTAATTGATATATCTAAAGAAATATTTTTATAAATAATATCTCCGAAAGACAATAAGCAATCATTTATGACTTCTACATGTACAAGTTTAGTTTTCTTCACTAAAAATATTTCCTATTTTTTAACAAAGTCTTTGTCTATCATAAAAAAAACTAAGGCTCTTGAATCTAATAAAGAAAAAAATTTATAATTTTTGGTCTTAAAAAAATATCTATTATAAAATAAGATGATAGATCTAAAGAGAAAATAAGACCTTCATTAGTTAATATGTATGATTTTTTTTCCAACACATCTTTTTTGACATCCATGTTCATTATTCTATAAATGCATTGCTTCTTTAGACAAGATTAAGTAGTGTGTTTAGCTTCTTTAAAATATAATCATAATTTTTCTTAAAAATATTAAATCTTTTTTTTATATAATGAGAGATTTAAAGCATATCATATCAATTTGAATAGCCTTTGGCCTTAATTAATAAGTTAATAAAAACTTAGAATTTTTTGTCATGACTTGACTTGTTCTTTTTCAACTTATTCTTTGTTCTTGATATGTTCAAAAAATCAATTGTTGCATGCAATCATTAAAGTAATAAATTGCTCTAATGATTTTTTTTTGATATTATTAATAATAAATTTTTGACATTAACTTTTAATCTATATCAAAATTGATCCAAAATTATAATAGTAAGAATTTTTTAAGATTTTGTACGATTGATGTATTTTCTTCTCTCAGTTGCATAACTTCTTGGTATAGATATTAAACCTCATTGTTAACTTCTTCCATATGTATAAAAATAATATATTCATGGTTATCATTAGTAATATGTAAAGTTTCTATCCTAAAAGTATTGATAAGCTTGTAAAGATCTATAATAATTACAAATCTATTCTCACTTCTATCAAATACAACATCCATATATATATATATATATATATATATTAATCTTTATAACAAACAACTTTAATAAATCTACAAGACAAATTAGAAGAAGATAATCCATAAATTCTTATATCAAATAAAAAAATTTATAAAGAAAGTGAATCCATTATATTTAAGGAAAAAATCAATATTAGAAAATAAAAATATTAATTTAAAGGTAGATAGTCTACAACCTTTAAAGGACAATAGAAGAAGTAGAATAATATATTTACTTCTAAAACAAAACAAGAATAATAAAATAGTACTATTGTCAAATTGTCAAGAATATGAATTACAAATAATCAAAGGATCAATACACTCTTAGATCATAATAAAATAAAAATAAAAATAGATAAACACTCAAAAAAAATTTAATACTAAACAAGAATGGATATTGCAAAAGACAAGAAGACTAAAGATTCTTGAAATAAGACTATGAATAATAAAAGACATTGACAAGTGTAAAAAAGATCTTACTTTTGTATATGTTTTGTGTATATTTTGTGTACTTTTGTGTAAATTTTTATGATTGACTTACATATTCAAAATTTGTGCCAAATTTTACCACAATTCACTAACATATGTAATAAGTGGCCAACTTATTGGCCCAGTTTTCAACCTATGAATCACCTACAAATATATATAAAATCAAATCTACATCTATATAACTTCTAAGGAGTTTTTCTATAAGATATTATCAAATTTTCTTACTTCTATCTAACTCCTTTAATCTAGATATAATCCTCATCAAAATATATAGTGTGTCTTTTTTATGATTGACTTACATATTCAAAATTTGTGCCTTATAGCAATGCCTATCCAATTGGCCTCAAGTTCCAACAACTGCACCAAGAGTTTATTTTTGGTGACACATCATGATGAACCCATTGGTTGATGAAGCTTGTGATAATAAAATTGATTAATGAATGTTTCTAAAGCATTGAAAAGTGTCATTGTCAAAGGTTTGTGATTTGTACAGTAAAAGATATAGATAGAATTCTACATAAGAAATATACTTTGACATCTAACATATGTGCATTGTCCATTATTACCCTAATTCATAAACCATACCAAGAATGTGCTTATGCAAAGTGTGCATTTAAGGAATTTATGGTATATGAAGTAAAACTGCTCTTTAAGAGGAATTCAGTGGTGTAATTTTATTAGAACAAAACCAATAGTTTTTTTTACTTAAATTAAATAAAAAGAAAGTATATAATAAAATAGTATATATAAATATGCATGTCTATATGTTAGGTATAATAAATATAGTATAGAATAGAATAGGATAAAAATACTATTATTTATTATCTATCAACCAAATTCCATCACGTACAACCAACCATGCATGAATGCCTTTGAATAACGATATCCTGACTGCGTCCGTTGTGTTGCTTTAGAAAGCGGTCCTTGGGCTTGCGAGCCTGTATCACGATTTGTTTCTGCAGCAATCGATTTCCATATGGCAATTTTTTGGTTGAAAGTGTGCTGAATTCTCGTTGTCTGCCTTCTAGCGCGTTTGTAGATAGAAGGGTCAAGAAACCCATATCGCAGTGCTTCACTGAATGGTCGCTGTCCGCAGTTGCTACGAGTGTAAGGATTTCGTTTTCCTGCATGCTTGAGGAGTGCTTGCAATTTCTGAATCAACGCTTTCGATTTGTGACGTCGTTCACATGACAAGTTCGTAGGTTTCAACATGTTCTTTGATTGGCGAGTTCAAACAATGTAGTTCGACGGCGAACATGCTACAGTGACCACATTGCAGAAATCAAGTTTTTACAGTTCTTTGTGATCATTCTTGACTCGATGGCACTACAAAGTTCAGTATTCTTGATTGCTGATCAATCATCAAATGGTTGGATCAACCAATAGTTTCGACACGACGGTGCCGATATTACCTTTCCGAGACCATACAGTCATCGTACAAAATTAATGATTTAGGCTTACAAGACGTCATCAACTATTGTACCCTACTGATGATCAACATGCTATGCATATATCCAGAAATTCATGTACCTCATCTCACTGGAACGAGTTAGTGAACTACTGCTTCACGCGGCAACGTGTATATTATTATTTTTTCTTTTTTTCATTTTTCATATTTCATCTCATGTATCAGTTTCTTTGGAGTTTTTTTTTTTTTTTTTTTGTTGTGGTGTGAGTGTTCTGATGAGAATTTCCTTG